ATTAATATGAGTAAGTCGGGCGATCGTTTTTGAGAATATTAAAACTAGAGAAGTCCAATTTTACCAATTTAATATCGATGTATCAATACATGCAGTCAACCCTATAAATATTCTTACCCTGTATGTCTACTGAAGAAGTTTGGCTAAATTAGATAATAGGTTTGATATTACCAAATGAATTTTTCGTTATAAATATCTATATAAATAAGCTTATACATGTACATATATATTTATATATACATCAACATGTTTACACAAACATACTCTAGGAAACATCGAACTTACCATTTAATTTAAATAAATTTTTTTCAATAGACATAGAGGGTACAAATATTTATGGGATTAATTGTATGTATGAAGAGTGTTGAATAATTATTCAGCCATGCTGCAAGACAGTTGCTCGTTACTTTCACCTTATTTCGCAATCTAACAGCAGCAAAAAAAAAAAATCAAAAACCTTGAATTAAAGCACCCTTGCCTTATCACCCTCGACAAACACCATACACCTTCACATGTAATGCAACTTCGTCCATTTCGTAATTACCCCGCCTCTCCAGGATCGTCAGACCGATTACTTTCACTCGATCATGCATTATTTATTACGAAGCCGCCGCGTCCAAGAGCAAACATCGTTCATGTCGATTAGAATCCCTGGCGGTTCGAGGCAAGAAGTCGCATCAAAGAGCGCACGGCGAGCGTCGGCTGATGTCCTCCTGCGGGATGGCAAACCTTCGCCTACCACCCTCGGCTGGGTAAGTTTACTCAGGTCTTCCCGCCAAGTTGATCCCTGGCAGGTTCACGGTGCCGCGCGAATTAAAAGCCCATGAATATGGTAAGGATGCAAATTTCAACGGTGTTTACCCTGGGATCAGTGTTACTCGGCGATCTGCATGGCCGAGTGTTAAAATACTCGGGGATGCAACGAGGAAAACAGCTGGGATTTCCCTGTCTCGTGGCTCCGTTCGATTGCGCCCACGCTGGATAACTACAGGGGTTAATTACAAACCGGAACTCCGAAACATTTCGCTGCTACTATGGCTTGGCTGGGACCCTCGTTACTGTGAAACATCCGGGTTAAACCGCTAGTGGCGTGGTAGTAAAGTTTAGCAGTAAGAAATAACCCGAAAGACAACGTCCTTAACTCCTGTACGTCCCGTACTGCTGGAGAGTACAATTGGACTTCGAGTACCTGTTGTAGATAAACTGTATACTAAATCGAAGCCTAGTTACCCTAATATTGGCACCTTGGTTGGTTAGTATTAGGAAGAGGATAGCAATGTTTGGTGATTCTAGAACCAAAGAAGTTGAAGCGTTTCAAGCTTTAAACTCTATGGAACTGAAGCTGAATGGCTTAAACTTCCTCGGATCAAATCCTTGATAGTTTTATATTATGTATGTGGGACATCTGTTGTAAGTTGTAAGCCGTATGCCAAAATTGTTGCAAAGCAACAGTGTGTAATTATTTATTTCTAGAATCGAGCGCACTTTTTGGTGAAATCGTGTCCGACAAGATATGTTTCCCCCGTTTCGAAATCGTTCGATTAATCCGTGGCCATCCCCGGCCGACCTGTGAGCGCCCGTTCAATTATCGAGGGGCTCTTCCGCCTCTCTTACTCTGCGTTAACTGAGTTGTTGCCTCGATAATTCGTACATCGGAGTATCGGTCGTATCGCCAGGGGTTCGCCGCATTAATTTGCGGCTTGGCGCGGGAATTTCTGTTAACTCTATAATCCGGAACTTATGGCCTCTCGGTCGCGCATACTTCAACGACAGGTCAATTCTGGACTGGTTACAGGTATTCAGCATTTAAAGCGCGCCGTAGTTGGTACTGTTAGTCTATTTCTATTCACTGCTGTCGTTTGAATCAAATTAAAGTTTATAAAATTATTACAGTATTTACGGAGAACTAGGCAATAATTATAGTTCATTATGAATGTAGTTTGAGCGTGTTTCATGTGTAATTATTTATTAGAAGGCTTTGTAATACCTAGAGAAAGATTATAATTCATAATTATTGTTGTAGTGACTGAGCCTCGTAAAAAAAAAATTTAAAATGATATAGTTATGATTCAATAAATTTGTATAGAAATATAATTATCATTATTATAATTATCATTATTTATTAGAAGGCTTTGTAATACCTAAAGAAAGATTATAATTCATAATTATTGTTGTAGTGACTGAGCCTCGTGAAAAAAAAATTAAAAATGATATAGTTATGATTCAATAAATTTTTATAGAAATATAATTATCATGACTTTATACTTTTATTTTGTATGCGATATAGATTATTATTGAATCAAAGTATAATTATTTATTTCACCATAACTTTATTAATGTAAGGGTAGAAAATAATTTGTTGTATTTATAAATAAGTACATTGAAGTAGAACACCAATCAATGCTTAGATTGACAAGTTCATGCCTTAAAAATAAAAGTTATTTTTTAAAGTTACTTTTATCTGCTGACAATTTATATTCAAGCCTAACGAAAGCGGAACTATCATTCCAACTTTCTAACCAAAAATAAAAAAAGAACGCGTTGAAAATTGAAAATTGCAACTCCAACGGAGTAATACTCGTACGGACGGTGGGAATTCAAAATGGAACTAGCTACGTGATTTATATGGCTGCATCCCTCCAGATATCAGAAATAGATTTCACCGCGTTTCGCGTCCAAATCCAGATCCCTTTCCCAGTCCAGATTGACATTCAAATTGTTGCGTGATGGTCTGTTCAAATATTTCCCTTAAACCCAAAATATTTGAGTGAGATGAAATCTTTATCAATCGTAAGGACAGGCAATTATTCCCATGATATAAAAGGGAATCAATTTCATCAACAAAAAATATTGATAGTCAGTCTAAAATAAACACTTTTATTACACAGTTCCAAATTTCAAGTCTGCGGAAATAACGGCATACTTTCTTAATGTCCCAAATTAATTAAATAAAACAGTAAATAAACCATTATTTTTTAAAAATTCGTAAAAGGAATGCCTCATATCTAGCGTCCTGAATCGAGTTCCCCCCATAAAGCGTTCAGCATACTTGTAATCGACGGAACGCGACGAATATCCGGATAAAACCTATAATCATTCCAGTCTCGATGACTGTTGCTATCGCGACAATGCACGCGACAACAGTTGCATAGCAGAGGGGATCAATACTTTCCAGTGAATCTTTGGCTCCGACATTTGCGCAATCATCTGCACCGTGATATTTACTCAGAGCCGCATTATATACGATCAGCCACTCGGTGAGAAAGGATTCCGAGCAGAAGGGAAAAGAATCGCGATGAGTCGGTTGGCAGAATGTCGAGCAGAGCGGAACAGAGGCCAATCGATAAGCAGTACCAGAAACGCGCTGTGGCTATCATCCAGACGCCAGACTAAATCTCTGATTTACGGCAAACGGTTAACGTTTATTTATTATAATACCGTGACTGGTCCGTTCCTCGACCGCTCGATAGATTTAATCCGAACAGTTCATTAGGCCTCTGCTTTCAGGAATCTAGTCGTTGCCCTTCTCCGTGTTTCAGGATTTGCATAAATTTACCACGATTTATTGTTGGTCAGCGTGCGTCAACTGTTAGTGTAAAGACTCGCCTAATGACAGTGGAGATTTAAAATGGATGATTGTACGGGGTGGTTAGGGAAACGTGATATGCTACTTTTACACGTGTGGAATTCGTGAAATGGAACAAAATTAACAAAGACTATTAGGTTACTGTATTTTTTGACGTCTCGTGTTGATTGCTATCTGTGTTGACGCATAGAATTGAAGAATTCTCGACCTGATTGCCGGTTAATGATCCGAAACTTGGAAAGGAGTTAATTGATTGCAACACAGTTGTCTCTAACCTAATTGGGATAACTAAGAAACGTACGCGCTCGATTCGAAACAGTCTGGTAGCATTAAAGGTGTAACAAAAATGATAAAAAAAGGGATAACCACAGGAAGACAAACTTGCTATGAGATTTAATTTAATCAAAAATGAAGAAAACAACATTAGATAAAAATAGGCTCGACGGCGAAAAATGTTGTATATAAGATAACCGAAGAATCAGTAGTATAAGCGACTTTGGTCAGACATAGAGTATACCTGTTACGTATAAACAGATTTCCGAGATGTATTATTTTAATCAAGTTCTGAAAGTACTTTTTGTAACTGCTTTCAAGTTCATTGCTTTATATAGACATGTATTTATTGCAATTAATTATTTATTTTTAACTAACACGAATGGGTTATTACCAGCATAGTAGGGACTATTGTTTATTTGTTGTACAGTCATGAGAAAAAATGCTCTTCGTTCTTTTTAATTTATTATGTACGACTTAAAATTGAACAACGTTAAACAAAATTGAATTCATTGTCGGAGATGTTTCAGCTTGAAAGTGCAGTTTGCATGCATCGAATATATTGATTGCTTTTCATTGCTTAATTTGCTTGTATAGATTCTAACTACCTGTTTAATTTAATGGATTTAATTAGCGATTATTCGAAAAGTCCAGGAAGAATTTAATTGGAGCTATAATTAAGGGCGGGGCTTCCATTTGACCTAATTTATGCAGACGACGAACTGTCGTCAGCAGTGGAGGTGACAAAGATTTATGAGCTGCAGGGATGATTAAGGAGACTGGAGATGAACGTATTGTTCCTATTTTCTGGAGTATCTGGAAAATGTCTTGGAAAGCGACGAGAATGCAATTCTTTCATTCCATCGAGAATCCTAATTACTCCTCCTCAATTAAAAATTATATCGAGATTAAATCTCATGCACTCTGTCATAAAGAAAAATTTCTTTCCTTTCTTCGAACTCCTTTTCGCGGTAGAATAAACCTTTCTACTTGTGTCTGCGTGAGAGTTCGCGATTTGTAATGCGCCTTTAAGGAACCAAGGCTCGCAGTATGGAATTCTACGTGCTGGCGAGAAAATAGACTACTTCGAAGTCGCGCGCGCGAGTGACACACTACACGACGAAAGTTATGCACCACTTACCCGTATAAGGTCGGCAATAGTTGCGATTTACTTTGCTGTAAATCGTCGGCAGAGACGTATCAGCTCCCGGCTCGACGTACGCCTTGTTCTTACTATCCCGGGGGTCGCTATATTGTTCCACAACTTCGACTTCCGCCTGAAAACAGAGCAGAAATTGTTTCCTTCCGTTATGTTCTGACAGCTACGCGGCTAAAAGCTCTTTGGAACGCCGCGTATTGTTTACAGTCGGAATAGCAAACATTCTACCTGACGTCGACGATCGAAACGACAAAAAGAAAACCGTCTTCCGAAAGTATTCTCGTGGCGAAGGTAGGACGTCCACATTTTTCTGCACTCGAGAATCCAAACACTTCAGTGAATTTTATATTTGGGGATTTTTATACTTTTATATTCGTACTTTTTATGTCTGTTGAAGAAGTTTTATTAATGTAAGTCAGGGCTTCTTAAACTATGGGTCGCAACCTCAAATGGGTTCGCGAGATTTTAATGTAAAATATTTAATATTCTCTTTTATTTATGTTATTGCAAAAAGTGCAGTTTTGATGAAAAATAGGGAATATAATTTTTGTAACTATAATAAAAACTATTATAGATTTTTTTGTGCAATTTTTAATTTTATATTTTTGTATGTTTTTAAACAAATTCTAAAACTATATTTTTTCATATGTATATATATATTGTTACCTAATCAATAAATCATCACAAAATATTTACATATCAACGAATGTACATGTGTCGTCTCTACAATTATACATAAATCTATTATCAGACCGCTAAACAATTTTAAATAAATCATGTTTTCAGAAAACATAATAATAATAAATAAACACTATAATATTTCTTAGGCAGCATCAAAACATATTGCTCAAGATTTAGAAACAGCTTGTGATAAAAATGAATAAAAAATTGCTAGAGACAAACCCACGCTATCGATCTCTAGAAAAATTCTCTGAGGCTATCAAATGGAAGCAATAACAAGAGCATATTTTTCCAGCCGGAAGCATGTTTTCGTAAACATCCAAAGGACCAACGGATTCGATAAAAAGAAGTTGGAAATGAGAGCGGCACAAGTGGGAAAACAAACAACAGACGGCCTGAACGATAGAAATTATTGACTCGGTAACAATACTAATTTGGCAGCGGGTCGCTTGGCGCTCGAGTTCGCCTAACAGCGTCCAGCTTCGTCCCTTCGGGGGGATGGCAAGGGTTATTGCAGGAGTTTCTTCGACTAAGCATGCGACACGTTAGTTCAACGCAATTCCCAGCTCTGAACGCAGCCAATTGCGGTAATGCCTTGGCCACGGTTGCAGAATAAACATTTTTAGCTCCGCCGCTGAATGATCGTTATTTCCAGAGAAAACAACCCCGCCGTGTTTCGTTTCCTGTCCCGCTGTTTTATTCGTTGGCTCCTCAAACAGAAGTTGGATAATTAAAATCTGACGAAAGTATTCGACGAGAACAATATTGACCGATAAGTCATCTAAATACGCTCTCCGAACCCCTCGTTCAATTAAGGTACATTTGGTGATTTAACGAGACGCGCTGGAATGCTGGTGAAATACTAAAAGGATTCTTTTGCAAAAATGATGCCACGTTCTGTAGTAATTGCATTCTCGAAACGTCTGTCAACGATTACGAATTTTGCTTAAACACAAAAAATAAGTCTTTTACATTCCTATTCTTCTATTCTACACTTTTTATATTTTACAATTAATTTCTTTATACAGTCAATCCCATAAATAGTCGTAACCTCTATATTTGTTGAAGAAGTTTAACTAAATTGAATAATAGTTTTGGTATCGTCAAATAAATTTTTCATTATAAATATGCATGTGAATAAACTTATACATGTATATATTAATATATACATACATCAACATATCACCAAACCTGCATCAAACCTACCATTTAATTTAAACAAGTTACTTCAATAATCATAGAAGGTACAAATATTAATGGGACTGACTGTAAGTACAATAATTATCTATTCTTTTCAATTGTACCACACTCCCTGCTCATCAATCCATCGTCGACACGCAAAACGTTCACGTGAAAACTTATTTTATCCTATCACCTCTGCAAGAGTACCAAGCATACGGTCGACCCATTACATCAACACATCTCATACTTGTACCAAAGTAATGCTCCTTTCCACCACGCCGAGTAAACGCACAATAGGGCGCATTTCATTGGACCGACAATCGAAGGAAAAACCTCCGCGTTTCGCCAACGAAGATTTCGGCTGGCGACTGGGTAACCCTCGATATTAATGACGATAACGATAATAAAAGCAATAACGATGGCCCGGGGCCTGAACGCGGAAGCGAAACGCAACAGGGATGGAGCGAAGAGGACGGAACGCTTCGACTTCTCGAAGCAGGCGTCTGATCAATGGCGACGGAAACCCACTCCCGCCGTGGCGGCGCAGGGGGTTGTATCACAAATCGAGGAGTTGGCTCGAAGGTAAAGAAAAGGAAAGACGGATTGAAATGACGACAGACGGAGGCCAACGTCTGGAAGGCAGAAGACGAACGGGAAGACGGGCGAGGAAGACAAGTAGCCTTAAATTGAAAGAGCCCAAAATTGGAATTCTCCTGCCAAAGTTGAACGTCGTGCCCCCGGGGGCTGTTTCGAACACGGACGCGATTGCCTACTGCCTCACGCCGCCGCGGCCCTCTACCTTCCGCTCCCCCGTCTACCACCCAGCTGGAACAGATAAATTCGTGGATGTTTATACGGAAATTACGGTGGCGACTTTCGAGCGGAAGAAGCGGGACGCCGCTGCAGGAAGCGGCTCGATCGACTGTTGCAAATCCGATGACTCCAGCGACAGATTCGACTTAGATGAGCGCAAACATGCCCGTATTCCCTCCTCCATGAATCTCGAAGACCGACGATATTGACTGATGTGTCGCGATCAGCACGAAAAGAAGGGTAGTCCTTATCGTGGCGACATATGTGTACACACGGACACGTGTTTCAGCGTGTTTGAACTTGTGCTGATCGATGGCGACGAAATTAGGGAGGGTGTATTATGTACATTTAGGACCGTAAAAAAGTAAATTTGTCTTTGCCATAGTTCTTAAAGGATTCCATAAAAATTCTCGTAAGAAATCGTGGGCAAGCTTCGAACAATGAGGACGATCCGTCAAAGATGCATGAAATCAAAATTCTAAAAAATAAATCTTTTGTTTTGCGCGTGTGTGATATTACAGAGTTCCTTAATCTGAAGGATAATAGAGAATATAGGATTTAGCTCATTTATAGAATATTATATAAAATAATTGTAATTTATAATTAGGGGAATGGATTATGTACATTTAGGAGCGTAAAAAAGTAAGTTTGTTCTTGCTTTTGTTCTTGAAGGATTCTATAAAAATTCTCGTAAAAGATCATTTGAACAATGAGGACGTCCCGTCAAAGATACATGAAATAAAAATTCTAGAAAATAAATCTTTTATTTATAATAAGTAAATTTACATTTATTTACTAATGAACTTCCCCTTTAACTTTAAACGGCATTATCCCTGTCCATACGAGTCAACAAGAACATCACTATTAACCCTCTCCCAATAATCCTGACGGTTTATCAGACTTTAATCCGTTTATTCGACCGCTGCATTATAATTAACGGCGATTATTGGCTGTCACGTAATCTCGCTACTTTATCGCACGTGTGACTTTCGCTACGATGCGTTCAGGATTATTGTGGTGCATTACCGAACTGCACAAAATCCGTGAACGGGGCCCTATTACAAGCTTATCCGAACGTGGAAAACGAATTTATCCTGTCGTATTATATTGATCGCTTAATTTAAAATCTTAAATTTTGAACGATGCTTTCCGAGCAGAATTCATAAAATTATTTAGAAAAAAATAGTATTTGGACTTTCAGATCATGTTATATGTTTCTATTTTGTTTATTGTTTGATACACATGTCTCGAATATTTAATATTCGATTCTTTCAATTTTTTGGAAACCATTTATCTTAAGCCATTTTTTTGGAAACAAACAAAATCTCTCGACCGTTTTTATAATACGTTTTGAGCGCTGAGTCAGAGATGAGGCATCGTTCTCAGCCTTCAGAAGTTCCGTGTTCTTGCATAATGTCGCAGTCCTAAGTACAGACGAATTTCGCTTGTAAGAGAGCTTAGACTGCAAAGTTTGGAAGGTTGGAGTATACCCGATACCCTACCAACAGGGTACGCAAAAAGGGGGATATGGTAATGAGCCTTGCAATAATAGGAACTTTAGAAACAACAGTTCTACTGATATAAAATAGAGAATTTCTCAGGACCCTAGTTCTATTGAAGTTCTATTGAACCTAAAAGAGGAGGCAGTAACTATTTATTTCGTAAATATTTTGTAACCGAACATTTGAATATTTTCAACCCCCAGTTATCTTCAATATCTTCAATCTATTATTCAAAACGAAGTTCTTAAAGTAAAGAGGTGACCAATCAAATAAATTTCCACGGTCGATCATCAACATATTTGATTAAATTTTAAATTGGCCCTGATTATTCTGTATACAAACCATCAATTTTTCTGACATCAACTATCAAAAATATCGCCATATAAAAATCAAAAAAGGACAAAGTCACCCCAGTTAAATATTTATGAATAATTACAACTTTTATTTACATGACAGAGAATACTAAAAAAATAAACAACTTTCGTTGCTTCATTCGATGAACAATGTGAATTATAGAAATAGTATTATATTTCGCGTTAAATAATTAAAGTCGTATCTAATCGACTATTCAATCGAAGAACCATCGATAATAAATTCGCATACGGTATGTTTTCATTCGCTATGTATCATTTAAATGGAATCGCGTCTATCTCTGGTTCGGAGACCGCGAGTCCCTTCCCCGTTTAGGAAACTATAAATCCCAGTTTCACTTTCGGGAAAACCAAGACCTCGAATTTCCAACGCTATAGGTGTCCTCGCACGCGCCAACGCTCGAACTTTCTCGCAGCGTGGCTCTTTGTTACGGTGATAAATGCGACCCACAGCCGCGCCCGACCTCACGCATAAAATAAAGCGCTAAAGTATTAAGTAGGGCTTACGAGCGAGAGTCATAACGATTCACCCTCTTGAATCAAGTGGTACCCGCTTCCTCTCTTTGTCGCCCTTCCGCGCCCCCTTCAGCGACGCTGTTGGGAGGAGCGCTTTCGTCAGGGGCTGCCACGGTGACAACGAGGCGAAGGAAACTTTTGTTCGACACTCCCAGGTGCCCCATCCCCTTCCTAACGTGGGTACTTTTCCAGCCTTCTTTTATGTTATGACTTTACTTGCAACGGTCATAACGTCTTTCGTGTCTCGGTGTTTTGTTTTGCGAACAGAGTGAGTTATTCGTCGACGATCCTGAGAATGAATTGTTATCGATGCACCTTGCTGGTGGTAGTTTTGGATTATACTCTCTAGTTCGAAATATGCTTAATCGGGAATGTAATATATAGGTAATACAATCGGGTATGCAGGGTGACCCATTTAAGTTGAGATTGTAAAAAGTCTCGAAGACATGTGATTTAAAAAAAAAAAAATAAACCGACACGTGTCCTTTAGTGTTTCGAGTATGGAGTGAAATGTCACTACTTATTTTCTAATACGTGGATGTTTTCAAGCTTACTTCAAGGTTACTTTTTTTATCATAAACCTTTATTTTTATTTGAGAATCATATAGGACCTTAAAGAGTGTTATTTAAACACTGAACATGATCGTGAGTGAAGTTAAGTATTCTCATAAGTATTCGTACCCTTTATATTTATGAAAGAAATGTTCCTAATTTAAATGAATGCTTCCACATAAATATGTAATTGTAAATATATACATGTGGGAAGTTCATTTATGTACATATTCATAATAGAGAATGGATTTAAAAACATGAAGCCTATCATTTAAATTAAACAAATTTCTTTAATAGATACAGAGGGTACTTATAGGACTGACTATATATCTGTATATTATGGTTGTTTCAATATACCTATTATTTCATGTATACTACGCACATCACTCGTACACTTCTCATACATATATGTATGCGCGCATTATTTCACGCATAAATTCATATTTTACGTTTACAAATAGCGCATGCTTTCCGCACGTATCACGCTGGGCGCGATCATCCGCAGTCCAGCGAAATTATTTTTACTAGCATCCGCCACCGTTTTCGCAACAAATATTTGACGGCGGAATGCACGCAATGAAACGAACTCGCGTCGTTCTTACGTATCAACGTGTACGTGTTTCCACGTTTGCCTCTCCACGGACTGTTCCACGTTAAGCAGACCTAATTTATTTCCGAGTAAAAATTACTCCCCAGGACAAAATGAACCCAGATCTCGAGCCACGTAACTGCCGGCAGCGGTGAAATGCGCGAAGTGTGACGTTCCAACCGCGCTTTCGAGGACACCAGGAAACATAGCCAAGGTGAGCTGTATTTCAACTGCAGAAGCATTTAGGCGTTACGCCCGAGGCAATCCCGAGCACCAGAAACTGAGTGCTGGAACAATTATAAGCACCGCCGGAAGTCACCGGTCTCCCTTCAACCCCCTCGCATTGCCCAGTTTCGCCCCTGCTCGCATGCTTCCCTTCGTCCTTCCGTTCGCTCGTTCGTCGTTTCTCTCTCGTCCCTGCGAACGGCTCTCTACCCCTTCTGCGTACCCTCTGCCCCCTCCAGCCTCTATCCCAGCGTGCCCACGGGGTATTTTGTCACCAGCGTAATTATATTTCTCCCTTCAGTCGATTCTTCGGGCGCCAGCCAGGAGAAAATATCAATACTGTCGTTAACAGCCAGGACGAGTCCTGTGCCGGTCCTGTGGCGAACGATGTCCAGGATAAGGGTTGCACTAATCGCGATCGGATCAAGATCAACCCGGGGGTTGTTCCGGAGGTATGTGGAGAATTTCGTATTCATCCGAAGGCACTTATTTATAAAGCTCCACTAATACCTGCGTTCAAAGTTCGAATGAACAAAGTTTTGCGTAAACATTTTCAAAAATATATCGTACTCGAGCTGTGGTAGTTTGCTAGTGTGAATAAATAAAGGCTGAACGAATTTAGTCTATAATGCCTGGAAAAGATAACGAAACCATTTGCTCTTGAGGCCCTTTTTCCTGGTATCTACCAGCAACTCGAGATGCTTCCTTAGAATTCTATTGCCACGAATGCTAAGCTTAGATTAATCTAATTTGAGATTCGAAAATTAGGTCACCTTTACTTCATCGACGATCATTTTATTGACACTTCGAGTTCCAAAGTAATTAAAGCTAAACAAACATTATTGCTGGTTGATTTACTGCGTCGAATGTAACTGTGATGGGGGATCACTATTAATCGCAATTTTTCTTAAATTTTTTTAGAATAAAAGTAAGCCTACGCAAATGATAAAATAAAATTTATATACAACTTAGATGAGGAATTGATTTGTTTGAGAATTGATTTCGCTCTAGTGAGAATGTTAGGAAACAAACAAATTTTTAATGAAAGTACTTGGCGTGAATGTTTAATCAATGTTACGTTTCCACTATTTCAACTGTTAATAGAATCTCCAATGGCCAAGCCAAATTCAATGTAACCGAAACCCTCTAGACCACGAGAACACGGAACTTTGGACTACAAATGTCGTCAGATACAACTCGAGATATGGGACTAAATAACTAAGATACCCTCGTTCGATAGACCCCATGAATAGGCTTTCCTGGATTACACTATGCGATAGCTAGGCTTTTCGAAGTAGACGGATGCGATAAATATGTATACACCCTCTACACGAGGATAGTAAAATTTTATACTGAGTAATATAATGTATTCGTAAAATTTAATTTTATTAAACAGTTATTCGAATCAACTTCATCGAACGTGAAGTGTATTTACGAAATTAATTGCATGATACAGATCATAATTTTGTGTGAACAAATAACTCTTTAATATAATTAATATAGCACTCTTTAACTCTTTAATATAATTAATATATAACTTTAATATAATTAATATAGCAAGGAAGTGTTACGATTACAAACGTTGCAAATTTTATGACAAACAGTTATATTAAATGCGACATTTATCAAGAACTTATGTTGACATTTTTAAGTAGTCTAACTGTCCCAGAGAATAAGAAAATCAATTTTTTGCGGACTTATTTATAAAGCTCCACTAATACCTGCGTTCAAAGTTCGAATGAACAAAGTTTTGCGTAATTTACGCTTCATCGAGGAACAATTGAGGCAGCTAATGCTTACGTTTTCGACGGTAGGACTGGGTAGCGCCCACTGCACCGTAGAGGTTGCGGTTGCAGCACTCACAGGACGTCTTTTGTTCACGAAGTCCACTGGTAGACTATAATCGTCGCATAGGGAAACCTGCAAGCAGAGAAGCAATAAAATAGATTGCATTCGGTACTCCGGTCTATTAACGCGTTGAATACCATGATGGTGACCGACGAACACACCATTTTATTCAAACAATTATAAGGCATGAACACCACTGTTAAACTTTCATTGGCAGGAATATAACAGACTAAAAAGACATTCTTTGAGTAGATGCATAATTTCGAAAATATTCAAAAGAGATTCCCTATCTTAAGTTATTTATTTTTCAATTTAACAAGCAATACTTATTTTTAATGTTTCTAATATCTTCGTAGACAGCTTTGAAAATGATTTCCAGTTTGAATTAATTGAAATAGTAAATGCTACTTGAAAGTAAATGTAAACTGTCCATCCTTAAATTATAACCAACCCCTAATATAATCTTCTTATCTCACAAGCGATATTTAATTTCAACATATCTAACGTCACTAATGATTTCTAATATAAATTATTTAAGATAAGCGCTGTTTTTAAATGTGCTTTATAAACATGAAGAACCATATTTATTATTGTGTGCAGAAAATAACACATTAAACATTACATAAGATAACCTAGTCAACATTCCCAGTCCAGAAAATGCCCACATGCCATAAAAGCGTCAGTGTCAACGAGCACTGAATCATCCCAAAATTCCCAACAGAAAGCAACAAAAGAGAACAAGCGAACAGAGTGTATTAGCTTCGATCGAGTACCGGCTGGCCTCTCCACCCCGTGTACGTTATTCACGACGCTGACAGCATCGATCATTAAGCTCTTCTCGTCTTTTCCGTTCGCATCGTTCCATCTTCACCGCCCTCCATCCCCAGTTACCCCGAACTTGCGCGACAACGCGTTGATATCGGCTAGTCCCGTCCATTTCCGTTTTTCGTTGAATCCGGCGAGGCTTCGCTCTTCGACAGGCCACCCTCTTCTCGTCGTGGCTCTCGTGTCTTTTTTACGTTTTGTTTCGTTTCCCACTTCACGTATTCATACGGCAACTCTTTGCTTACAATAAATGCGGACCATTTGCATGTAGGGTCTCCGTACCGGGGAACAAACCCCTTCCACGGCTCTCTGCCTCGCTCCTTCGCCGGCTCTCGCTCCCTCTACCGATAGGTTTGGGTGGTCATGGCGTCTCCCTGGGGCTCCGGCTTCGCCCAACCCCTCCACGAGTCGACTCCAGCGCGATAAGCCGCCCCCGGGGATCCGCGATTGTCTCGATTTATATGCATGCACAGACGTAGGTGGCGGCCGTGGATGCTGCTCCGACTGCGCGGCCTGGGGAAGACGAGGGAGGGTGGCGAGCTAGATGCGACCATCGATAGATCGATTCACCGGCAGACAGTAAATATCGCTGATGAGCTGGTCCAGTCGTTGACGATTGGGACTTAGGGCCGGGGGTTCGGGGGGCTGGGGTGCTTACCCGGCGATTTGTCGAGTGCCAGACATTCTCGCGCTACTCAGCACGGTGTCTCTCTGCAAGCTTGGCAACCATCCCCCGTTGCCAGTCTTTATCCAGGGTTTAGGTTATTCTTCGCTTCTCTGATTTTTGTTTATACGCCTCCTTTAGAGATTTATAACATGTTGCCCGTCGGACTAAAAGTAGCGAAAATTTCGTTGTAATTTAGAATTTGTCGTAGCATTTAATTTTGTAATTTATATCATTCACAAATTCAAATTTATTTTCATTGTGGTCTCACTTTTGAAATCAATTTGTTTAGTTCCTCACTGGGAAGACCTCTCACCGGATACCTTTAAAACGTTCTTGGCCAGCAACTATTTATTCGTTAACAGCAAAAAGTGAAGGAAGATTCGGCACTAAATAAAGAATCGTTTCATTTATTTGTCAAGGATGCCTACGGATGTTTATCTATTTCTAGCAAGTCGAGATGCAAGTAAATCTCTAAGAATGTGTACCAAAGCATACATTCATAAAATATCAACAATGATATACACGTTATAACGTTTATAAAATAAAACATATTTTTATTTAACACGTTGATGGCTACGTGAATATTTGCGAACATTTTCTTACAGAATCTAAGTCGCTTTATTTATTTTTATAGCGTTATCGAAATTCATGAATATTAACCAGATGTATTTTCTTAAATATCTCACTGTAAACATTATGTTATTTATGTTATTATAGTAAAGAGTTCTATCGTCCACGCGTGGCGATGAACGCGTTAAAGCATTCATTCTTTTTCCGTGTCCGTGTAAATACAAATTTGCATTAACATTGAATTTTCAGTGATTACATTTAAAATTGAAAACTACTATTTGAAACAACATAGCGTTCTTAATCCCGTGATTCGTGTTCCCGTACCTACCTATATTCGACTCTCGCCCATTTTATATGCTCGTGATTTTTGTTTTTGTGTTCTCCCATCGGAGATTTCGCGAGTCAAAGTGGATATCGGCCCGGGGTGCCTTGGGATGCCCCCCAGCGACCACGTTGTCGGGGATTAACGCGCTGCCGAGCGTTTCTTCTTTTTTTTCGCGAGGGAAATTATTGCGAACAAGGGACTTCCCCCGCGCGCACGGAAACGCGCCAGAGCGATTATCCGATTTAATTCGGAAATACTTTTTTAATGACCGTCTGAGAGGTGTGTTCGTTTCATCCGGGATAGTAATTGCGAGTTAGCGTGCGCGTTGGAGACCATCGGTCGAGCGATTAATTCTGGGCTCGATTGGTATAGAGACTTTTAAGGAATCTGTCCTTTGCGTTAAAAATACGCAAATGTCCTTGGAATGTTCTCAACGCCTCGTAACCTAAATTTTTCTCGAAATTTTCCGATAACCTTTTAGACACCTACATTCGTTAAATGTGCAACCTTATTTTAATTTAACATACGCCATGAGACGCGCGAAATCCAACGGAGAAGAAGTCAATTAATCTTCGAGGTAACTTACTCCAGCAACCAAGCCAACTTTCCAGATTAACTTTCAATTTCCGTAAACTATGTCAAGAGATCCTCTGACACGTTAGGAATGAAACTCGACGACTGAGAATTATTCGAGTGTTTCTCTCGCAAGTTAAGTTTCAGCAACGCTTGTAATCTTGTTTAAAATATCGAGTTCAAAAGAGAAACGTAGTTTAATGGTGCCATTTTTTATTCAAGGCTATCCGTTTCCCTCGCTGCAATTTATTCAGGAATGAAGGCACGATAAGAACGTACATAAACGGCAATATCAATTACACGAATACAACCAAATCGAATATATATTTCATAAAATCCATTTTTTTAACTTGCTCAAACTTTACTGTATTTGCATTCATGGAACTGCAGCCAGAACAATTACATAGTAAACGATCCATGAACTGAAACACAGCAATTGCCAAAGTACCGACATAAACTACACGAAAGTGCAGTTTATACGTTAAAAAACTTCACCAGCAGCTGCAGCCGTACCGCAAAGTAACAAACGTTTTACGCTTTGGTGCACTATTTAAAAAGCCAACAGTGAAACACTGCTGCTTAACCCCTCGCAAGCAAAACTTTTTTTTGGGAGGAGGGAGGAGCATTAAAATGAATATTTTTCGCCAACCTCGAATTATATAAATTTTAAGGGGCTTGGAGCATACGGTATTTTAGAAAGTAAAAATTTCTCCATGAAGGTAAGAATGTAAGAACTACAAAATTTATTGTTTTAGGTACAAAGCGTAGACTACTCACTCTGTATATTCTCTAAAAAAAAAAATACTGTTAAAGTCCACGTACACTCATAATTTTAAGTGAATCACTTGGATGACTCACCCTGTATACAGTCTAAAGAAATACTGTTAAAGTCCACGTACAGCCATAATTTTGAAAAATTAATTATTTAGTAATTAATAATAATACCAAGGTGCACGTATAGTAGAACGCAATGTATACCATCTGGATTCACGTGGGAATTTCAATGTAAGGACGATGAATCATATTTTCAGCCAGAGAGAAAGGATATCGTATGTCCTTTTTAAATCGCGAAACTGATGCTAAGTGGCATAGTGTTTCCTAAACTTGGCTGGCTTCGGAGTAAGCACCTACCCCTTACAGAGAACAGAGATACTTCCCTTTCTCGGAGGAGGAGGAAGCCAAATGCGAACTAGGCCGTTCAGCCGTTGTGCTGGGACGGTCAATGGAATCTGGAGAAACCGCCGAATACCCTGCAGCTAAGGGGTAACGTTTCACCGTTTCAAATTATGGTCATTCGGGGAGGTGGCAATGACGTATGACACATCTTGCCATCTTCCTCTATAATACTCTCAATGTACTTTATTCTCCTATTTTATCATTTCATCTGCTATTGCAACGGTTCATTTAACTATTAGGTCTATCGGAAAGTTCTGTCCGTTCCGGTTACAAGTTTCAACAAATATACGCATATTTATTAAAAATATGATATACAAATTGCAATCACGTTGGCAAGAAGTCATAAATAATAATGGAAATTATATTATTCAATAAAGTTTAACCAGGGTATGAAAAATATATTATTTTGTTTTATTCTAAAAACAGACTGAACTTTCCAGTAGACCTAATATTATTTATGTAACATTGATTCATAGAGTCATGAATGATGATTTATATTATATTTTTGTCATCTATTATTTAAATAAAGTAACATTGAATGTTCAATAAAAAATAAATAACTTCCCATTCGTTGATCATTGAATAAAAATTAACATTCAAAATTACATTTCATGTCGAAAGATAAAGATGTAACCTTGCAACTGTTCAATCGAATCAATATTGAAATAATGAGTCACTATATTATACATCTATTTCTTCTCTATTATTTCAATACAAACCAATTTCTAATCAATTTTTATAAGTCTATTTTGACAATGAAAACTTGAACTTTCCCAGTGTTCGTTTGATATACTCTTTGAGTTATAATTTTTAACCGAAGACTGCCAAATTTCTTGATCAGACTTGCACTCTAACTCAATTTATTTTTATTACTCATGGAAATACATCTGAATTTTATCGAGCTCGACGAGGGAATAATAAATCATCGTATCTCGA